GTTATCCAGTGCATACTAGAGGTGGGCAGAGATTGAACGAGTCGTGTGTGTGTTCATTTGAACGATTATTAAAAACGATTCGCGACATTCGATTCATCGCTTACAATACGATTCGTTCAATTGAATCGTGACCAGCACAGATCCATAAAATTTGAACGAACGATTCGTCAGAAATGAATCGGATCACAATGCGACTCGTTCGTTTCTACGGTTCGTTCGTTCAAAGAATCGTGAGAATTGATTCTTTGTTTACGATACGGTTCGTTTAAAAAATCTTCTTTTTCTTCCTTCTTCATATACTAGACGAATTGCCTGTTTGGTTTCGTCGTCTCTACCGGTCAGACTGACAAGTTGTCGCTCCATCGTTTTCGTGGACGTCCTAAGCTTCTGCGATCTAGCGGTGATTTGTCGCGTGCAACTCTCACTATCCTTCTATTGTCCATTCTGCTGATATACTTGTTCCATTCTTCCTTTCTGCTGAGTACCCACTCATTTACATTTTCCACCTTGCATGCTCTTCTTATGCTTTCATTTCTCTCCTTGTCCATGCAGAAGCGTCTTTCCAGCTATTCTGCGTAGTACTCTCATTTCGGTTGTCTCTGTCTCTAATAGTTGTTTAGTTTTCGCTGTATCAGGTCGAGTTTCTGCAGTGTATGTCATTATTGGTCGTACCATTGCCTTGTAAATTCTCGCTTTCACCTCAATGTTTTTATTTCGCCATATTGTGTCATTCAGGCATCCTGCTATTCTGGTTGCCTTCGTTATCCGTTCTCGCACCTCCGCTTCTACATCACCATATCCTGAGATTTCTATGCCTAGATACTTAAACTTTAAGAAAATATATTAAAATTATATACTTTGAGCTTGGGTACACGGACGTTTTTAATATAGGTAATAACAAATATATAAATATAGATTAGTAATTATTATTTCAGTAATAACATTTTATGTTCTAAACTTCATATATTAGTAATAAAATAAACTTAAAAAAAAACCAAACCCTCAAATAGCAATGAGCCGGACACCTGGCAAGAAGGACGGACAATAGATGGACCACAAAAATTAGAGCATGGTACCCACGAGAAATTGAGAGACCTAGAGGAAGATTAAACTTGAGATAGGATCATGATATTAGGAAATTCGCAGGGATAACTTAACAATAGACAACAATGCATGGGCCCAACCACAAAGAGAGTATCTAAATATGTGAGGGAAGCTACAAAAACCATAATTGAAAATGGATGAATAAGCTGAAAATTATTATGATTATGAATAAAATAAGCTATAATTTGACGCCGTCTTCATAATTATGAAGAATGTGTATTTATGTAGTAGGGTATCAATAGACTCGAACAAAATCCCTAAAACATTACAGATATAAAATGCAAGCGATATCAAAGGTATTTACAAAAAATGTCTATTTATCCTGTGATACGTACAATGTGTTTGTAGTTTGTTCAAATGAACGAATCGTAAGGATCGATTCATTATGAGAAATTGAATCGTTTGATTCGATTCACTAAAAAGAATTGTACTGCCCGTCACTACTGCATACCAAATCAATATAATATGAATATTGATAATTTTTGAGAGGTTTTTCATCATTACTACGTAAAGATAATATCTAATTTGAACGCGGATTTCGATAGCACCAAAAAAATTGTTGTAAAACAATTGGAATTTTAATTATGTGTACTTATAATTACCATGAACTAACAAGGGGGTCTGTACATAAATTATTTATGGTAAAATAGTTCTAGGAATCAAAACAGTTTAAAAAAAAGATTTTTTTAAATACTTAATTCAAGGTTCGTAAGATAAAAAATAGAAGAATTTTACTACAAAAATGGACGGAAAATGAAAAAAATCAAATTACAGAAATTAAATACGCAGAGTACAGAAAATGAGTACATACTCTGATTTTTTCTTCTTTTGATATTTCCTTCTTTGTTTTTTGTTAAGATGCTTCTGAAAGTAACTCCCCGGATTTAAAATCAGTTTGCTGTTATATTGTTTGGCTACCCCTCTTTGCTGTTATATTGTTTGGCAACTCATCTTTTTTGAGTAGATAACTTTTGTGTTACCTTTTATGAAATCGGCGAGAGAGAGAGAGAGAGCATCTTCCTTGTTTTCTGATGATGGTAAAATAGAAACATGCCGTAATATGTACTTATGAAGGATAAAATTAAAGTTCTTACGAGGATTGTCTTTTGTATTTTGCATATACCGGGTGTTACATCGTCGGACGGGACATAGGAAATCCCATGTAAATTTTAATGGGGTCAATTATTGGCTTCCCTAATTATTTTAGAGAATAATTCTATTTAGGTTTATTGAAGAGCACTAAAACCCACATTCAAAAGAATAACTTTAGATATTTTTGATTAGCTCGTTTACGAGTTATTGCCGATTTCTTTTTAAATATTTCTCCTTTCTTATGGCCCTGTATTTACTTATGAGCAACAGTCAAGGTAAAAGATAACTGTCAAATGAAGTTGTCATTTCAGAAATTTACCTATTTAGTGCTTTATTATTATTGAAAACTCATTCCTACATCGGAAATCTTAAAGATGTATTTATAAATACAAATTAATATGAATTAAAGTAAAATAAAGTAATCAATTACAAGGTTAATTATAGTATTATTACAATATTCAATAACTTATTAATTTAGGTACTATTAAATTGCTAGAACTTTAGGATTTAAGAAGATGTTCAAATATTCCTCCATTGAATTCTCTTCTTACATTCGCTAGTTGGTAAACTGGAATTCTATTGCACTCGGCAGAAATAGCATTTTTTAACTAGTCTAGATTTGGGTATTTTTTATCCTTGTATATATCCTGTTTTTTTAAATGGCCCCAGAGAAAGAAATAATTTGGCGAAATATCAGGAGACCTTGCTGGCCAATTTACTGTATGATTTAGGCCAATAACGTTTCCGTTAAAACTATTGTCTAAATGTTCCCGAACAGCCAGGGTACTATGTGCCAGGCAGCCATCCATTTGGTACCAAACTTCCTGATTTTCCCTAGCGGCATCATGTAAGGCAGGTAAAATATGATTTTCGAGTAGTTCCAAATAATATTCTGCATTTAAATTTCGCGTAAGAAATAATGGCCCGATAATATTGTGTCCGAATATCCCTGCCCAAACATTTACTTTCTGTGGATATTGCGTCCTTGTTTCGACAAACCTGTGTTGGTTTTCTTTGTTCCAATATCGATAATTTTGAACATTATTTAAAGTAATCATGCATTCGTCAGTGAAACATATGTTTTTTAAAAATTCCCTATCCGTGTTTGCTCTTTCCATCATATCAAAACAAAACGCCTGCCGCCGTATTTCGTCCCCATCTCGTAGCTCTTGGTGCTTTTCATATTTGAAGGAATAGTATTTATATCGTTTCAAAATTCTAAACGCTGTAATGTGATCTATTCCTATTTCATCCTCAAGTTTCCTTGTGCTGATCTTTCCATCGTTCTCTTCCACGCAGAATAAAACTTCCAAGTCGGTATCATTTCTTGCATCTTCTCTTTGTTCCTACCTTCCTTCACATCTGCAGTTATTTATTAGGGTACCTTTGGTCTGAAATCTCTGGATATTCCTTGCGATCGTAGATTTTCCAGGTATCGGTCTATTCGGATACAGAGCAGCAAACATGTCCGACACCTTTTGATAGCAATTTCCTTGATAATACCATTTAATCATCAATACTTTTTTTTCGGTAGTGTAATTCATGGCTAATATTTTTGATGTAGGTATGAGTTTTGAATAATAATAATAAAGCACTAAATAGATCAATTTCTGAAATGACAACTTCATTTGACAGTTATCTTTTACCTTGACTGGTGCTCATAAGTAAATACAGGGCCATAAGAAAAGAGAAATATTTAAAAAGAAATCGGCAATAACTCGTAAACGGGCTAATCAAAAATATCTAAAGTTATTCTTTTGAATGTGGGTTTCAGTGCTCTTCAATAAACCTAAATAGAATTATTCTCTAAAATAATTGGGGAAGTTAATAATTGACCCCATTAAAATTTAAAGGGATTTCCTATGTCCCGCTCGACGATGCAACACCCGGTAGAGGTAGAAAAAACAGTAGATAACTTTTAAACACTATTCTTTTTAGAAGTATTCTCTACGAAGAGAAATACATTTGTGCATTCGTTGGAACCAATTCTAAAAGCAGTTCCACTCGCTTATTGGTACCTCCAAAATTGTGTTTCTGAAGGCGCTGACTGCATCCTTCTGGGGATTAAAACCTTTGACTACGCAGTTCATTTTCGTTTTTGCAGAAGTAGAAAAGTCCTTAGGACTTATGTCGGGACTGTATGGAGGATGGTCCAACAATTTCATGTTTTGATGCCTTAAAAACTCAATTGTTTTTGTTGGTTTGGTGGGGGATCATTCGTTATCGAGTGTTGGTTTTTCGAAACTAAGCAATTACTTTTCGCAAATAAAAAATGTACTAATCATCAGTAACAGTTCTTTGATCTTGCAGAGGAATTTTTGCTACAGGGCGCACTTTTGAAACAAATGTAGCCATCATATTGTTAGAAACACTTACGGATAACTTTCATGGGTTTTGATTCATCTCGGAACACCTAAACAGCTGATTGAGGTTTATTTTCAAATTTTGAAATTTCAAATTTCAAAACAGAAACCAACTCAGCAAGGCATTCTTGTTGAGACAACTGTCTTGGGAAATTGTAAAAAATTATTGCGCAAAACATTTTTCGAGTTAATTCCATTTTTCGACTGACTCGTCAACTTTAAACATTCAGGTTAGGTACAGCTTTAAACGAAGCGACCTAACATTTTGGCGTTAAGTTAACTAAAGATGACAGTTAATTTTAATTTTTGATATATATATATATATATATATATATATATTATAACAATCGCCTACTTTGTTTCAATATGTAGAATTTAAAAGACAACCCTCGTATACTATAATAATAAGACTTTAGTAACATATTCCTTTTTTTGCTGCAGGATTTACTACAAGATGGAGGACCATGCCTCATACTACAGATCGACCTACATTTTTCCACTCTCAAAAGGTAAATATCAAAATAATTGTTCATAAACATTTTTTTTAATTAATTTATATAAAATAAAACAGCAGTATATTTTAGAGACCAATTCGAAAATTCTCTCGGTCTACATTTGATAGATTGTCACCGTGTCCTTATAGATCTGTTATGTCTCCCTTTCTTGAGCTATAATCATAGATTTAGGAAGAACAGATATCACATTATGCATTTTAACCCGATCAAACATTCGGAGGTTGACTACGTACTGTAAAAACCAACTGAGATAGAGACGGCGACATTGCCACATATCAAATTTGCGCCTATCTACTTAGTTTGATTTGCAGAAAAGGTGACTTTAAAACCTTCACCGGATATCAATAAATCTCAATTTCTTAATTAAATTAATAGTTTATTTTTAAAGAAGCATGCGTAATACTATGTTATTAACCAGAGGATATATGCGTTACTATTAAAGGACATGTTTACGTCTGTAACGTCTAGAACTATTGGCAACGTCGCTGCTAGTCTTCCAGAATGAAATGAGCTGTCCGTCCCACCACCTCGCGACGGCCCATGGTCCGTTATAGCGTACTACGTTTAGCTTACGGTGTGTTTGAAGTCGGAATCAAGTCCAAAGTGAACTTTTCAGTGTTTTTCAGTACTTTTTGTTTTTGTTTAATGTACTTTTGAATCTGCGAATTTTCAATATGGTACGACAGTGTCAAATGTGTGGACAAATAAGCTCCAATTACCCGAATTTGTCTTTCTACTGGTAGGTATTGTTTCCGCCGCGCCGTAATCGTACATAGGCGTCCAACAAGGGAGCCTCTCACAATTTCTTATTATCTTTGTTGAATTTTGATCTATTAAAACAAGAACGTAGTAGCCGGTAATTGAATTATAATTCGTCTCAATTACTACCTAACTGTTGTAGATCATAACAAATTTGAATATAAACGTTACATATGAAACTTTATTATAAGCCAGAAAGTGACATTTTTTTCTTAAAATTGCGTCCTATTTTGGTCATTATATACGATATTCTAAAGGAATTTTGCTCAATAAATAAACAAAGGTGTTTACCCGTCCTTTTTTACATTTTATTGCTTTATTATATCTGCCCCTTCGGCCTTGTTTAGACAATTTTTTACCACCGTACAAATACATCTTCCTAGAGTTATTTGTACGGTGTGTTTAACTTTTTTTAGAATGGGACGAACTGTAAATAATTCTTAGGCTACTAGTTTTATACATACCTATATAGAGAGTTACCCAGGCCTCCAAAAAAAGCTTTTTACCTATTACGTTTTTGGGTTTGTGATTTTTATTTCAATTTTTTACATAAGATGGGGGCCATTGTAACGCACATTTTCAAAATATTTTGTCAACATACAGGGTGATTCAAACCGCAACACATATGCTTAATACAGTTCATGAAGATTAGGACATTTAACTAAAATTTGATTATCTGATGAAGCTCCTTTAAAAGTAATGGATTTGTAAATAAACGTAATAGGTATTCATTATTATTCGACAGAAATCCCATACTGTAGCACACAGATTTTATACTTTTTAATGATAAATGCCTTCTATTGCGAGACTAAAAGGCAATTGCCTCTATCAGAGCCATCATAATACAAGAAGAAGACCGAAAGAGAGAGTCAAATCTTGTTCTATATTTTCAAAAAAACACAATTTTCTCATTAAATATTGATTTTAGGTATAGGAAGTTATTAATAATACAAGATTAAACAACTATTACTCAGTACTTCACAGAAAGCTATCGATTGCGAACTAACTAAATCGTTACTAATTAGGTACTAATTTTGAAAAGTTCTTTTTAAGATAAAAAAAGGGTAAAACTAAAAACCTAAACTATCATTTGAGATTAAACGGGAAGTTCTAATTAATGTTGCCTATTCTAAACAAGAAAAATTTATTTATAAGTTAAGTTTTATAACATTCCTAATTAAATTTGGGCGAAAAGAGAATATTTCTGTTTGCTGTAGGTAATTTTCTCAGGGAAAATACGTAAATAAAAATGACTTTTTAAGTCAAAAAAAGTCAAAAGGACAAGTTATTCCAAAAAAGGACAGGTGGCAACCCTAGGTATTTCTGGAATGGAAATTTAATGGCAAATCTACAACTTTAGTTTGAAAATATGTTCCGGCCATCTATGTTTACAAAAATGTCTAAAATGTGCTTTATCATTGCCTCCATATTCTGAAAAAAAAATTGAAAGAAAAATCACCAACCACAAACCTAATATAGAACTGTTTCGGAAGCCTGAGTCACCCTGTAAATATTCAAAAGTAACTGAAAGTTTATATAGAATTAACTGAAAGTTTAAATTGAAAATCGACGTTGGAGCGATTTTCGAAAACTACCTACTAACGTTTCAACATAAGTATATGTGGGATATTAATTATATTATTATATTAGACCTTATAACAAAACTCACCTGACGGAAAAGTGTTAATGTAGTATATTAATATGGAGTAAACATTTTACTAATTACTTTACTTTTACTTTACTAATTAAATTCGTTCCAAAAAACGATACGCCACTGGCCATTAGAACAATCCAAATGAGCCTAGTTGCCGGGGTCGGAAATTTTAGACTTCTCTGTCTCTTCTGTCCTTGTTTGACACATTGGAATGTTTGATACACTACCAACGAGTATTTATGAATGAGATGTTCGGTCTATATTTATAATGTCTTTGGCTATAATACATCATACAGTCTCAGGGCTTTGACAAAAACTATTATATGAGACGGATTTTTAGAGGTTAGATCTCCATCTCCGATATCTAATAGGGCACGAATGGTGGTCGTCTCGGCGCACAGTGACGAGGTGTTCTCCGTTGTTTCTTAGTTTCAATCTACTGAGGTTTTCATTGAGGAGACAATTCGAAGATTGTTTTTACTTAAATCAAGGAAAATCTTTGATTTTTCTCGGCCATAAGTCCTGAAAAACTTTGTCGAATGTCTTAGGAGTATTTCCATTTCAGGTTATGGGTGAAATCTTCTACTATCTCTTGACTTCTGCTTTGAGTTGGTTTCCACTTGGGAAGCACAACGGTTCTGGTTGTTAGTGTTTGCTCTTTTTCTAGCAAGATCGTTTGTTTTTTGGGCTAGTACCCAGAGTAGTAGAACTTTATTTTCTTTGCCTTATTTGTTCAGCTTCTCTAGGCATTCTATGACCAATTTCGAATTGTTGGTTACTGAGTGCCTAGAGAAGCTGAAAAAATTAGGCAAAGAAAGATATTAATAGCCAAGTAATATACAAGGTGGTCCGAATTGTATTCCGGAAACTTCGGCAGCATATTCTGCAGATAAAAATAAGTAAAAAAGTTCGTATAAATGTATGTCCTAAAATGCTTAGTACAGGGATAAAAGTTCATTTTTATTTCGATTTTTCCAAATAATCTCTAAAGTAACGTCAATATTTGGATGAAAATTGGTAGGTGGGTGATTTTCATGTCAATTTTGATGTCAATATGACCCCATTTAGGTGGCGCCACCTACATGTGTTTTAACTGTTTTGAAGAGTAATAACTTTTCGTCGGTACCTGTATAAAACTACTGAGTAAAAAAATATACATTTGCGACTTTTTTTACATAAAAAAGGTCTCTTGGTAAAAATCGCTACGAGTAATGGTTCTCGAGATATTTGGAATCGAAATTATCAATACCTGTTATCATTGACATAAATTAAACATGTTGACTAAATAGTAATTACACTGAAATCATAAATTTGAAATCTTTTGTGTCAAAAGTTCAAAAAAAATTGTTTAATCATAGTTTTTTCGCAGAAAAACTTATGATTCATTTAAAAAAATAAAAATTTATTATTTCAGTCAAATAACTATACTTAACGTGTGCTTATTTTTTGTCAATAATGACATGTATTGACTATTTCCATTCTAAATATCTGGAGAACGGTTGCTCGTAGCGATTTTTACCAAGAGACATTTTTTACATAAAAAGTAATGAAAATGTATATTTTTTTAGTCAGTGGTTTTATACAGGTACGGTCGAAAAGTTATTACTCTTCAAAACAGTTAAAACACATGTAGGTGGTGCGCCCCCTACAAATAGGAGTAATTTTGACATCAAAATCAAATTTCTCGTGTCACAAAACTCCCAGATACCAATTTTCATCCAAATATTGACGTTACTTCAGAAATTATTTGGAAAAAATCGAAATAAAAATGAAACTTCTACACCCTGTATCTCCGAAACTAAGCCATTTTAGGACATATATTTATACGAACTTTTTTACTTATTTTCATCTGCAGAATATGCTGTCGAAGTTTCCGGAGTACAATTCGGACCACCCTGTATATTTTGTCCCTAGCAGAACAGTTTATTAGGTATTCTTACATTATAAATCAAAATGTTTTAATACCGTAAATCAAAATATATGAATAGAATATAATTAAAAAAATAAATAAATAAATAAATAAATAAAAAAGAGATAAAACCTACTAATGAATCAAACGTTTCTACGTCTAGACAAAACATTAATTCATTGTTTTTGCATGACATAACAGTGAAAATCGCAATATTAACTACTACAAAAGATAAAATCACAATATAAAACAATAATATTTACACATGGTAAATTAGGATTACACTAAGAAAAATATTTCACAGATTTATATTATAGATTGAATAAATTAGGTTTAAAAAAATTAAAAATGAAAAACATTTGAAATTTTATTTATAAAATTAGTTAAGAGAAAATCCATATATTATTAATTAATTAGGCATTTTGAATATATTCAAAAATATCATTAAAAAATCTTTTTTCTCAGTGTATTTGCGCATGATTTGCAGTAGATATGTAGATTAAGATACCTAATCACTAAAGTACTCTACTAATCTTGTAGTCTGCAGATATGGATATTATTTCACCAGAACAAGTATTATAAATTCACAGTTATAAATCCATATTTTATTTCACAGAACAATTAAGAATATTCGAGCTTAGGTTCTATTTTTGACATATTTTTCAACTCTACAAGACTGAAGTTTAAAATGTTTGGATCTTGGACATCAAAAGAGCAAAGAAAGACTACAAAGTGTTTGTTTTATGTTGGTCATTGTTTTAAATAATGTTTACCCAAGTTTTAAGTATTGTAAAGTGTATTGTATCAGTGACTTTTTTTTCAACATTGTGTCTATAAAATTAAAAAGATTTTGTTGTTCTAAGCTTCATTCAGAATCTCGAGAGTAGTGAAATTAATTAGTGGTTTCAATTATACTTTATACTTAAAAGTCTATTTACAACATATAATACAATTAAAATTAATAGAATATCCTAGCACCAGCTTGCGGTAGACAGTTGTATTGCGTTGCAAGACTTGGCATTTTTTATATTCTATGTTCATAAACTAGGAAAAGTATAATTATTAATATACTAATACAAGATATAATTAGCAATGTAGCCAGCTAGATAGCTGAAATTTAAATAAAATATGTAAAAATTCGTGAGTCGTGAGTGTGGAATAAAGGACATTTCAAACTGTCTTGGAGACTTTTTGCAAAATATTCTTTAGTAAGGGTATACTTCTAGGTTTTTTGTAAAAAAAGCTGCAATTGGATAAGAAAGCACTGCATAGAACAAGCTTAAAAATTAGCCTATAAAACAATAATTTTTTTATTTATAACCACAATTTGTTTAACCACAAATTTTGAAGTATAAGTAGTAGAAAAGTTAAAAGGTTGTTAACTTTTTCTACTAACTATAGTCTGTCCAATACTATAGTCTGTTACGATACTATAGTCTGTCCAACGATATTTGTGATAGACTTTGTGAGAGACAAAAATATAGATGCTATAATCTGTCCATGACAGTGACAATTGTGTCCGAGGTTGTGTCCTATGTCGAAATCTTCCCTGCCTCTTTGGACAGACATTATATTGTACTTTCTTTTGAGGAGAGAGTCCTATAAGTTCTGTAAGTTACTATATGTCCACGTTATAAAAATATTGTAGTAAAGGGATTTCCAATTTATCAATTATAGTTAACCAACGAGAGTATACATGACAGTGACAGGCAAATTGTATTTTCTGTCATTTTTTGGATCCTATCTGTCGAAATCCTCCCTGATTGGTACGAACAAATTGATTGAAATGTATACCTATTTTAATACATATTTTACTAGAAAAGGAATTCAAAAGTATAGTTGAAAAAAGACGATGACGATTTATTATACTCAGTATCTCAAGAGGATTGATAAAAAATTTCGAGTTTATAAGTGTGCAAAAATGATGACAATTAGAAACCGATAATTTATGAAAATATATGTTTAAATCTAATAAAAAATGTTGGTTTCATCAAAACTTGAATCCTATATACTTATCTAAAACAATGATCTTATTAGAAAAGGTATTTGTAAAGGATAATGGTTTCTTTGAAACTGACAAAGAAACTCAAGCTATACAGGGTGAGTCTTAAATAAATGCAAATATTTTAGGGATATTATATTTCAACCCCAGAAACACGATTATAAGGTTTTTTTTTGAGGAAGAAGAAGATATTTTTAGAATTTTTAAGAAATTTTCAAAGTAAAATAACTCGGTTATTTTGGATTTATTTGAAAAACAGTAGGTAAAGAGAAAATATGTTTCTTTTATCGCATTCTACCAGCTATGAAAATATTTGCGCTTATTTAAGACTGACTCTGTATAATTTTTTTAAATACTCTGTACAGAAATAATAAAAACTACATGTTAGATTAAAATATTATAGAATAATAGATATTATTTTCTTTAATAACAAGTATCATAATTTAAAGAGCGATACATATGCAATAAAATACAATTCTGCGCATAATGCTTGTATTGCACTTTTACTAAAAAATATTGGAAGATGTCAATAAGTTTTTCAAAAATATCATTGGCCATTTTCAATTATTTATACTGTGCACGGTGAGTCAACGAGAGAGTAAAGTCTTGAGTAAAGTCTTGAGTAAAGTCCATTACCTCATTTTTTTCGCGGTTTACAAAAAAAATGTTAAATATAACAGTTACAGGGAAGGTTAAGATACACATTTTAAGATTATTACACAATACTAGATTATTACAGAGTACTAGACATATTACTTAGATTATTACAGAGTATGTAAAATGAGTAAGAGGGGGGATTAATCACCGCGACTTTAAAGATCTATTTTGTCCCCCTTTCTTGAGTTATAGCTCAACACACAGTGTTAACTCATCATAGATGGATATCTTCCGTTGTAGGAGGTCAGGACATTTCCTATCCTCCTCTGACAACAGATGTTCCTCCTCCGAGGAGTGGGCACCTACCTCCTACTAGGGTATACAGCCTTCTACGGTTGGGATTTAGTCCTCTGTGCCCTTCACAGTCGAGGAGCTGTCTCCAGCTGAGATACCCGTGGGGTGGAGGCTGGAGGATCTGTCTCCCTTTTCTCCACCTCTTTCCAACGAGCTTTTCCACCAACCATAAGGTCTTGCATCTCTTAGAAGATGATTCAGAGTATACAGAGTGCTTCAAAAAAGTGTGGCGGCCATAACATAAGTTTTTTAAATGCAACGCCCTATTTTTTATTTTGTTTCTTGATTCTGCGTAAATGAACAGTTTTAAATGGCACTATCAGTTTTTCTGATAGATTTTAGAAAACTCTTCAACTTTTATTAAGTATTTCATATACCTATTTTTAATAATTTTTAGTAGTCGAAATGATTTAAAAGTAGGGTTAAAATCTGATCAAATCCATTTTTTTAATTAATAAACTAGCTAGCTACATTCACATTTTCTTTTCACAGATTGTCATCTTCATCTGGTCTCCGAAGCAGGTAGTCTCAGTCAACACGACTGTCCCTCCTCAACAACAGACTGTCGAGTTTGGTTCCCTGCCCCCCGTGATGGTAGAGGACTCCTGGTAGAACTAAGACGCTTAAATGTACCCTGTACAAAGGGTTACGTGCACTTTGCCCAAGGAAAAAATGGAACAGAAGACTTAAGTGATGCAGATACACGTAAATTGTGTGGTGAGTAATATTTTGTTATTTTAACTAAGAGTATAGGTATTGCGTTCATCCTTCCACTGATGCGCTACTTAGCTAATATACTGAGTATAGACTATAAGAACATCGGAAGGCGTAGTAATAGTAGGGCTGAAAGAAAGGATAGCTTTTCCCTTAAGCATATACAAGGATGTCAGAATTTCCCAGGCGGAATTAACGGCAATCCACTATTGTGTGGAACAAATAATAAGGCAGTAAAAACACATTTTTAACGAATTAACTATGAACTGCCCATCATGTTCGACGTTTGGGAAATGCTTGGCAGGAGGGTTAGAGGTCGCGAAGCGGTACCAGCTTCATTAAATGAACTTCGCTTGGTCCTTAAAGAAGAATGGGAAAATGCAATGACAGTATCAACGGACATATAAAGGCAGTTATAGGATCCAAGGGAGGCAATACAAAGTATCTGGGTATTTTTTCATTTTTCTTTCTGTTTGTACACTTGAGTATTACAGATGTTTTCTTTAATATCGTTGGTTCTGTTATTGTAATTAATGTTTATTAAAACCTGGACTGTATCTTTAGTCTTTAACGGTTTTTTTTTTCAGTTAGTAATATAGCGTAATATCAATTTTTCAATCAACGGTAATATGACGTTAAGACAATAGTCAGCAAAACGATCTCGTCATAATTAAAAAAATACATCAAAATGTAATGATAATTGAAAAAATTGCAAATTGATCGTAATCACTTCATTTCGCTCTTAAAAATTAATCAAAGCATGTATTGACATGAATCAAAAAACAAAATGCTCAGGAGTCGTGGTTCTGACCGTAAAACTATATTTTAGGAAAATTTACAAACGAAATTATTGCACTGGGTGTTATAAAGTTAGGGTAAAAAAACAACCCTTCAATTAACCCTGCACAACATGCTAAATACTAAAGTTTATAAAAAACTGAGTTTACGAATTAAAGTTGACATAATTATATACACCTTACTAAAAAATTCATGAAAATAGGGCTAAAAATACCAAAAATATAACACTTTAAAATTTGACTTCTAAAAAAATTGAAAATATAAAAATACTATCAGATAACCCTAATAAAGTGGCTATCAAAATGTGCAACTAGTTTTTTGATTTTCTAAAAAGTAACGACAGGAAAAAATAAAATTGATTTTCAAAAAAATCCGTTTTTTTCCAAAAAAACTCAGCAATCCTTGAACTAACTTTTTTGGTGGTATTTTGGTGAACATCCCAAAGCGGCAACTTTACCCCAATTTAACCATATTCGTATCTATTACGTACTATAAACAAAAATCATAGTAAAACATAAAATCTATAACCATAAATTCATTATTCTTTTTTCTCTCAAAAGCAAACAAAAACAAGTCTACTCTGCTCTGTCCGCTCAGGTGGTGCTTCTCGTATTTCATCAGCCAAAGAACAAAACAAGAGGAGAGGATAAAGGGTCAGTCGCCCTTGCAAAAACGAAAGTAATAAATTTGGCCAGTCCTCGCAGCTTGTGGGCACTCTAAAGTTCTTCGGCCTGTCTCTAAACGTGTTGCAAACCATACGGGTGACAAACCATTCGTTTTATTAATGTATGTTTGGGTTTTGTAGAAATAAAAATAAAAATGTTAGTTTAACTTTGACTAACAAACTCAACTCTAATGTTATCCAAGTAGCATTTTTAGACACGTTTTAGGTAATGTTTCTAATAATCGTGTTTGTTTCTTGACACAAAATGGAAACAGTATGCCAAAAATAGGAAACATTTTGAAAACCTATATATTTTAAATGGCCTTATTACATGTGTTCCTAACCAAACCAAACTAACATTTTCTGCAATTTGTGTCTAAGATATTCCCGTTTTCAGCAGCCACTGTTTCTAAATATGAAGAAACAAAATGCCACACTAAAATAGTCTATGTCTGTGTGTGGATTTCAAAATTAAAACAATCATCAACAATGTCGACCTCCGCCATAATTTTTTTGCCTTAAAATCCTTGTTTTTAGGTTTTCCCGTACAACGTCTAGCAAAAGCAAATTCGTCGTTTAAAATTGACATGGAGTCGGACACAAATCATCTACATTATCAATCAATATTTGTGTCTAAAAAGAGAGAAACTTGTGTTTCGAAAATCAATCGACAATAATTAATGGAAACCTTGTTTCCAAAATGTTTCGATTTAGCGCTATCTGTGTAGAAATTTCGAACTAACACACCTGTCAACAACGCCAATCAAAGCTTCGGGGCAAAATTAAAACATTTCTGTTTACTTATTACAACACAACTAAAACGTAAAAACATGACTCTTCCATTGTGGAAAAAAGAGAAAAAAAACGTCTGCTGGTAACATTTTTCTTCGGTCTCCTGTTGGGTATAGGTAGTGGCTGTTATTACATTTATTCCTAAAACAAATCATCTCTAATGCGTATAATAAATTCTTATAAAATCGCATAAAAAAATTATTTGTATTTATACTTATCTTATTGTGTCATTCATTCTGCTTTTTTAATTATAATAGGTACTATAAAAACTTGAAGAATGCCTTAAATCAATGACTAAAGAATACAAGGGCATGTAACGGCCATATACGGACTGCAGCAGAATTTGTGACCTTAGACGCCATTTTTTTGGACATAACGAATGAGTCATCAGCTGGTCATCAGCGACAATTTTAGCGATTTTCAATAGTTGGTTGTGTGTAGTGAACTTTGTATAAACTTTATTACAATGGGAATTTGTTCAGCTTTCAAGTGTAAAAGGCGCAATGATAAGAAAGAGCCAGGAGTTACGTTTTATAGGGAAATAAACAGTCCACTACACCTTTTTAGCGTTTTTTTTATAGAATTCGATAATTATTTTTCTGATACTATATGTACTTGATATGTGCTATACGTCGATACTAGTTTTGCACCTTCTGTTAACATTTTAATACGTTTTTTTCGTCATTAATTAGTATGATACCACAGGATACACCATAGGCGTAGTGAAAACATTTACCAAAAATATAAATATCGCTTTAAGCGGTCATGTTAAGAAAAATATGTGCCAACTACTGTTTGGAAGAATGGTCACAGTTTGGTCTCGGTTGCTATTTGTCCTTGTATTCTTTAGTCATTGGCTTACATGCATAAACTGCAGAAAAAAATCCAAACAATAAAGTAAGGTTATGTTCTCATATTTGACCAATGAACTGTATACTACCTAACTGGAAAGGACCCGCCAATCGATAAAAGTGAGGCAAAGCGCAAAATAGGCAACCCATCGTTATGACGGGTATCTATCGCTTTCTATCTTATTAACCTAAATGGGATTTAAAGAAAATATTTAAGGTTTTTATAAATATTTGCGATTTTCTTTTGATAATTTGAGTAACCCACCTCTTTTATTGATAAAATATAGGAAGATAAGAATTAGATAAGAGCTTTATTTAACAATTTTAGCAAAACTTGAGTATTTTACCTATGCAGACGATAAATTTTAGAGCGTCGGGTTTTAAACATGAGAAAAAAAAAGTAACGACAAAAAAGGTATCAAAGCTTATTTTGTAATAAGTAATAACTTTTTAAAAAACTAAAAACCAGTAATATTTAGACTCAGCCGAGTCAACTGAGCCTTTAAATGATGACATAATATTAATAATTCAGAAGTCAAAGGTAGTTTTATCGTTCTTAAGACTTCAGAAAGCCTAAAATTAGCGGTATTTAGGGACAAGTCAAGGCAAGGGCCAAGGATAGGGAAATTCAAAAATTCAGTACCGCAAAATTCATATAAGTATATTAAATAATAAAAGGATACAAATCAAAATAATTAAGCATACTTAATATTAATACGCATACTTAATACCTAAAGTATTTTTCTAATACAATATCTAAATTTTCGTTGCTGTGGCCACTTTTTTTTATTGTACTAATAACCTCTTTCATGTTAAGAATTTTAAGATCTTCCGGTTCACTTTTTGTTTAAGTGTTTTTACTTTTCTACGTAGTTGTTCAATATTAACTGGAACTGTTTGTGTTTCTTTATCCAATAATATTTTCCCAAACTTTTCATTTCTATTGGCTGGAGTAGTTGATGTTGAAGCTAAAGGTAAATCAATATCCATTAATTCACTTTCAGTGTGAACGCTTGTAGTAGAAATCTGAAAATTATGTTATAATCGATCACCACAGAACAACATTATATCATTTACCAACCTGTTTTATTATTTTTCTACGAGGAGCATTGGCTTTTGGTAACAAGTGTTTTGGAAAAGAAAACACACTTGGTACAGCATCAGGCTTTAATCTTTTAACAGCCAGTCCTGGCTGATTAATGTAGTCTGTTGGAAGAAAATGTTCCTCACATAGCCGGCTAGTTTTAGATGGTGTCTACTTATCTCTACGAAGAGCCTGAATCCAAAGCTTTAATATTTCAGGTCGTTTAAAAGGAAAACTGCAAAAAATAATACTACGTTAAGGTTGTTAAGACGTTATAAATGCTCCAAAAAGCTTATATGACGGTTAAAAATAAACAATAATACAAAATATTATATTCCTATATTTTTAACATACGTATGAAACGGAATTTTTCGCCTATCCTGCTCATTATTGCAACCATAAGCAACACACGAGATCACCATTATTGTTTATTGTCTTTTGTCGTCTTGTCTGTGTAAAAACACCTTAACCACAATTTTAAGTTTTTCACACACTTTTAAAATACTACACGCGACGGAACACACAAAAAACAGCCAATACGTAACACTTTCGTTAAAATGAATCTTGCTTCCACCAGAAATCGATAAAAAGCCGTTTTAAAACTAATAAAAAGGTAAATTATTATCCCAGATGTACAGGGACATCATTTTAAGTGTCTCACTCGATTTATAATTTTCCTGTTTGGTATTTAAAGATAGTAGAAAGATTTTCTAAAGTAATTTTTCGCGAGGATGCCTATTCTCTACACCAAAATTTTTTAAAACGTCAATTTTGACAGATACGACGCCATCTTGATTTTTTTTAAAAGGAAACCCCTACATATTTTAGCATGATCCGGTAGACATATTTTAGCTAATTTCAAATATATATAGTTTAGTATACTTTGCTCTTACTGTTTTCGATATACAGTATAGTTATTTTTGGAAATTTAATAGCTAAAATATGTCTACCGGACCATGCTAAAAATATGTAGTTTTAAAAACTAGAAGTGCCGCATTCTGTCAAAATTGACGTGTTTTAAAATTTTGTGTAGACAATCGGTATCCTCGCGAAAAATTATATTTAAATACCTTTTACTATCTTAAAATAGTAAAGAGGAAAATTTTAAATTGGGTGAGACACTTAAAATGATTCTGGAAAAATTCATTTCTTTAAACTATACTTGAAAACAAAAGTAAAGCATACTAAACTATATTTTTAAAATAGCTAAAAAATATGCCTTACCGACCATAAGCAAAAATATGTGGGGGCTTCAATAAAAAAACAAGATTTTTTTTTTTTTTTTAAATTAACGATTTAAAAAAATTTTGGTGTGTAAAAAATCGGCATCCTCGCGAAAAAATTACATTAAAATATCTTTTACTATTCTGGTAAATAGAAAAGAGGAAAAATTTTTAAATTGGGTGAGACATGGTGAGACACTTAAAATGATTCTGAACAATTCATTTTTAAATCCACTGTATATCGAAAACAGTAAGTGCAAAGTATACTAAACTATATGCTTTTGAAATTAGCTAAAATATGTCTACCGGACCATGCTAAAACATGTATGGGTTTCCATTTAAAAAAATCAAGATGGCGTCGTATCTGTCAAAAATTGACGTTTTAAAAAATTTTGGTGTAGAAAATCAACATCCTCGCGAAAAAATTACATTAAAAAAAAAAAAAAAAAAAAAGTTATGGAAAAATTTTAAATTGGTGAGACACTTGCACGATCGAACAATTCCTGGCTTTTTAAACCACCTGTATATCGAAAACGGTGTAAGTGCCATATACTAAACTATTATATATTTTTTGAAATTAGCTAAAATATGTTTACCGGACCATGCTAAAATAAGTAGGGGTTTCCATTTAAAAAAAAATCAAGATGGCGTCGTATCTGTCGTGTACTAACGATTTAAAAAAATTTTGGTGTAAAAATAAAAAAAAAAAAAAAAAAAAATACATTAAAAATATCTTTTTACTATCTTAAAATAGAAAAGAGGAAAATTTTTAAATTGGTGAGACACTTAAAATGATTCTGCAACAATTCATTTTTAAATCCACCGTATATCGAAAACGGTAAGTGCAAAGCAAGCGCTCAAACTATATTTTTGAAATTAGCTAAATATGTCTACCGAACGGGCGTTAAAATATGTGGGGGTCGCATTTAAAAAATCAAGATGGCGTCGTATCTGTCAAAATTGACGTTTTAAAAAATTTTGGTGTAGACATTCGGTATCCTCGCGAAAAATTACATTAGGAAATCTTTCCATTATCTTTAAATACCAAACAGGAAAATTATAAATCGAGTGAGACACTTAAAATGATGTCCCTGTACACTGACCAAATGTATCACAATGGATAGGAGTGAGATAGGTTACCGTCTTAATAACACTGTCTTTGTCATTGCCCCTGACACACAAAAGCCGATTTTCGGCAACGCTCGGGTCCGTTCCAGTTACGTAGTATACAGTTCATTGTATTTGACAGAATATCAAATAAATTTAGGAAACATTTCAGGCACAAAACGGGTACGAAATCTGTAAATGTGAGCCACATCTGTTTCTTAAAAGTTTCGAAAAATTTGTGACGCTAAGATATTTATTGTTTTAGCTTATGTAGCAATACCATATTTTGGTAAAATGTTTCGAAACAAACAGCGATTTATGTTACGAAACATATGTATCAAAAATGTGACGAAACTGTTTCGCAATGTTTCTCAGCAGAGATTTTGTTTCGCTTTTGTGTCTAAAAATGCTACTTGGGTAGTATATTATAATTTGTTTCGAAATATTTCTGATAAATAATCAAAAAGCTACGAGTTGAAAAATTTGAAAAATATATTTTTAAAATATTTTTAAAAAAAGTTTAATAAGAATGCAGTAAAGCAGCTGGAAAATGACAGCAATCCAGGCGAAATAAAGCATTTTCCCTGAATTTTCCACCGAGGAAAAGCGAGTTAATCCTTTGTCGTCGCGTGTCGAGGTAACAACACATACAAAGGGGCTGAAAATAGCGACTCCAGACATCCGAACGGAAATTACTTGACTCCATTCGTTAGGCGTGGAATTTTTTAGACTATGTCATGCCTATAGATATTCTCTATTATTCAATGTGCTGTAACCAACATGTTTCACTATTTGGTATCATGTGAGGTCAAAATAAAAACGGATTTTCTGTTGTATTATCATCCAATTTGCAGCTGATTTTCCCCAGGTTATTTTTTTGATTATAGGTAATAAAACAAAATGCAAGGCAATAGTTAATTACGTTTTAGTGTGAATATTGCTTTAATATACAGTATGTCCCCAGATTGTCTTTACAAGAGGAAAAACTTTTTTATTATGTATTGATATTTTGAGAAAAATGCATTTTTCATAAAAAAATTTGCTTGTTCTAAAATGGTTAATCCCGTTTATAATAATAATAATAGCTCCCGTACATAGCGTTTAACGCCTTGGGAGTAGCAAGGTACAGCTTGCTATACTAGAGCCGTTCGGTATACAAGGAAGGTAATGTGGCTAGCACTACGCTTCAACCGCCTATTATTACCTCAGGATTGTGAATCCCAAGTACTCATTTAAGGCTGAGTCGACCTAGGTACCCAAACTATTTTTATTTTAATAAAAATAGTCGGCTGATGAAATGCCGGGTGTGGGAATCGAACCCACACCTTGAGATTGGTAGACGAGAGCCTGTACCTCTACGCCACCGGGCACCACTCCCGTTTATACTTTTCCAAATTTCCATACCGTTTTAGAGAAAAATAAAAAAAACATGAAATTATGGTTGAATTTTTTTATGTCCTAAAAATCAAAACGCGTTTCTATGGTAATATAATTTCGTTTTCATTCTTTGATATAATACATTGTTATTGATAGAATTTTAATTAACATCATATTTTTTGCTGTTTAAAATGTAAAAGAAGCACACTAGCTATTTATGTAACAAGTTGCGAAATGAATGTGTTTTAAGCATGGGACGCAAAATTGTTGACAATGCGTCCAGTGCTTAAAACACTCTTTTCGCAACGAATTTCATAGAAGATTTTTTGTGAAAACGGATAATTTGAGATATTCAGGCTATTATTGTTATTTATTTTTAAACATTTTTTAAAGTTTTCTGGTAATCGGTTTCTAAGACATTGTTTATGCATTGTTTAATGACAAAGTTTTGTCAGCTTCAAACGTCGCCGTATTTCTTACAAAGTTTTATGAAAAAATGAGTGATAATGACGAGTCTTTGGATATTCAACAAGCTGTTGAAACTGCGCTATCCACGTTAGTGCCCGAGAAATCGAAAAACTTATAGGAGAGGTATCGAAAAAATCAATGCTGTACCCTGCCAGTTGGAATCAATACAATTGGGGGTATGCCAAAAAAGATAGCGGAATTTCTTGGACTCTCCAACGCTATTGAATACACTGGTCATTGTTTCCGGCGCAGGTCTGCAACAATGCTGACAGATTCAGGCGCGGATATAACAGTTTTAAAGCGACATGGAGGTTGGCGATCAAGCTCGGTTACTGAAGGTTACATTGAAAATTCAATTGAACAGTAAACCGAAATAGCAAAAAAAATCATAGGACAGAAAGATACGCCAAATAAGATATTAAAAGCAGTTCACGTAGAACCAGAAGCTACCAGCATTGCCAGTACAAGAAATTTACTTATTCCGACTCCTACAACTTGCATTTCTCTTAGAGACGAAAAGTTAGATGCCTCTTGTATTCACTTTAATAATTTAAATAATTGTACCTTTAATATTTATAATAAATAAATATTTTCATTGTTTCTAACGTTTCATTTTTTACTTTTAGGCACTAGTGCCTAAACAAGTGTCACTTTTAGATACTAGTGCCTAAAAGAATGTCATTTCGAATCTCAAATAAACATCAAAAACTGTCAATTTCGAAACGCTTTCACAAAAAATTTATTTAGTTTAATGCCATAGATAAATGAAACAAGTTTAGATTGGAAAGTGCCCATAAGGACAATGTAAACACTATTTGGCGCTATTCATGCAACGGTCGCGACCCAAAACTTTTGAAAATTTCGGAGCGGTTCTGATTTTTCCGGAATTATATCGCCAAATATTGTTTATTCAAATTTATTATTATTTTCGTTATATATTATAAATAAAATACAGTGTGTTGCATACAAGAAACTTTATTTTATATAAGGACGCATGTATGAAATACCTATGAAACATTGGAAACCAACGTTATGCCACGATCCACGATGGTTTTTGCAGTTCACAGTTCACAGCACAGCTTTTTAAGTTTTTAATGCCACTTTTTCACAATTATCACCGGTTGGAGTAAATAAAACTTGAATTAAACTCACAAAGTAGCAATAATTACTTTGAAAATGGACGCTATAAACACTTTTCGGAATTTCTTTAATGAGAGCGGTTTAGATTTTGAAGATTATTATGATTTTTGAAGATTCTGACTTTGACAAAAGAAAATTATTTCTGTTTCTGTCTGCCGTTGTTCTTAGCGACCGCTACAGCAGCCCCAGATCGCGTATAACGGTCGCGACCCAAAATAATTACGCGACCTAAAATTTTTACGGCCTTTCCAATCTAAACTTGTTGCATTTATCTATGTTTAATCTTTGAATAAGAAGACTAAGGAAGGA